TTGGAGGTAGGTGGGGTGTCCGTGGTCGAAAAAGAAGACGGAGCAGTTGAATGCTCCGAGCTATTTGTGTCCGGTGATAACGCAGATGCGATTGCCATCAATAGAGCTGTCGGGGCACCTTTGGGCTCCTGAGGGTCGCCGCGGCGAGCAAGGCGAGAGGTTGAAGCGCGCGTCACGCGGGGCGCGGAACCGGGGTGCGTGGCTGCCGTAACCGGAGCTGAAGCTGCGATTATTGGGTGAAAGTGGTGACGTCGGAGGGGTAGTCAATTAATTTGAACGTGAAGTGTGCACTTGTTCGCAGATAGAGGGAAGGACGGAAATCCTTCCCCCGTGGTACTAGAGAAATATCTTGATATTTGTATATGGCAATAATATTTCGATGTTGGCTTTGCAGGAAGTTTTATTGCATTGACCTTTTTAGCTGACGAGGATTGCGTTGTTATTCATCAAAGATTTGAAATTTCGACATCAATGAATGCTCGCAACCAAGTTGTTGCGACCAAGTTAAAAGTAGTACAAGTGTATTTCACAACTAGTTAATACTTCGTGTAAACCAAATCGTCACTTTGATATAGCCTTTGTAGACGAGAATCGATAACCCCACAAGGCACTTCTTCATCATCGGCAATCATTCACTGTAGCAAGGTTTCAGCCTCATCTCGGCTGCAGGCACCACAAATATCTCGCGGAGCCACTTGCTGGTAGTTCAGCTTGCTCTTCAGATGGCCCCGCGTCCAAAGAGTGAAACGACCAATCCTGTGTCCCGTACAATTATATATTATTTTGTATTTTGTCTTGATGTAAGTATTTATTCTCTTAATATTTGTTCGGTTTCTTCCTGAGCTAGTCATACAGTAGATCGCACATCCAGTTATTGAAGAATTGCCAATTAGTGAATCCTATTGAAAAGACTAACTGCATTTGTGATTGTACACGCGTTTGTGCAGATTCATTTGGGCCTGCCAGGATTGACCACATTTTCCAAAGACGTGGCAGTTATTTGAATCAGCATGTATATTCCAAAAGATCAAAGGATTTCAGAAAAGACACACAATTCAAGTGAAAATGCAATCTCTTCTTCAACCATGTTTATACTACCTACTCGGAGCTGCCGATGTCGTTGATACCTGTTTTGAGACGAAGGCGGCGTTTGCTGCGGTACTTTGACTGGGTCAGCTTTCGTTTTCGCGAAATGTCATCAGCAATATATCCTGGGTCCTGACTCTGAATCGACTGCACACGCCTATTTGGTACTGTAAAGTGATAACTGCGCCGCTGTTCTAGTGCTGGCAATAGTACAAGACCACCATGAAATTGATATGATACTGGACTTCAGGAGCATGTCAATGTTAACGAAGTTGTGCCATTATGAGATGTGTAAGATTTGGACAAAAGCTACAGTGCAGAGGTTTTTCTGCTGGCAAACCGATGTTACACGCCATCACGAGAGCAGTTAGTACATTTTGTGGGAGCAGTCTACTGGCTTTCTGATCGTTTGCGCGAAATTGACGTTCATTGTTGTTCAAAACAACACACCAGACATGTCTCTTGTTGTGAGTCCTGTGGAGTGCCCATGGCGTCACATGAAGAAGGATGCTCTCATTGCAGACTTTGCATCGTATAATGTCGAGTTTGACGCCTCGTCTTACGAAAGCAGTTGAATTACCGACTCGGTGAGAGGTTCACCATGATCCTTGGTCAATTCTCTTGAATGAGACACACAAAAAATTCAATAAAAGTTTTGCAGCGTTTATGTTGTTTAGGAGTGAAAACAAAAATCAAGACTTTTCAATATGTGCATACTTTCATCAAGTGAAAAAGTACCTGGCAATTTTTGTGGAATGGAGTAGTAAGTATACCAGAGTTTGGTCAAGTACCACGACTACTACCTCCGTCCGGAAATAAATCAAACATTCCAAAAAGTTGAAGTCCGGAAATAAATACTACAATGACATCCAATACAAAATCCAACGTGTTAAAACTTGTTGTCCAATCCCAAACTCTCCAGCAGAGTACACAATTCGGCCATTTCTAAGTCTTCCTTGACTTCCTCAGCCAAGTCTTCCAGGCGCTTGTCGAAGTCTTCTTCGCCCAAAGAGATGCAACCCGCATTATACACATCTCGTTCCACTTCAATGCTGTCAGGTAGCCTTCCAATCGAAAGTAGACTACTCTTCCCAACATGGGGGATCTTGTAGTTGTTATCGCCATTGCAACGAATCACCTCCTTGAGGCAAGACTGGAGGGTGACAAAGTTTGCGTTGAGGGTTTCCATACGAACTTCGTCCCAAGCAAGCTTCGTGGCATTCACAATGTCTTCGACCGTGCGGCAGTGATGTCTTTCTTGCAACGTTTGGATAGCACGGAAAAATCCCAAGT